TAAGCTGTCACCACCAACGCCCTCCCCCTCCGTCTCCCCCCTTCCTCTTCAGGTTTCCTCCTTCCCTCCCAATCCTTGACACAGCGCACTTACTCATCATCTTCATCATCCTCCTCGCCCTCGCCCTCGCCATCCATGGCATCATCAGTGGCATTGCGGTCGTAGCTCAGGTACGAGATGGCTGAGTTTATCCCTCTTTGAGCTGATTCCCCAGTGGACTCAAAACACCACCGCCCTACCCCTCCCCCCTCGCGCACTCACTCGTCATCTTCATCTTCCTCCTCGCCCTCGCCCTCCCCGTCGCCATCCATGGCGTCATCAGTGAAGTTGGGGTCGTAGCTCAGGTACTTGAGCGCCAGGTCCAAGATCGCCTCGCAGTGCTCTGCCACGTCCTTGGGACACCGCACCACAAAGCTCTCCAATGCCTGCACGCACAGAGGGGTGGACAAGGAATCAGGTGGTGCTGTTAGTGTCTGAGGCGCCCAAGGGATCACGTTGAACACACACAAGATCGCCTCGCAGTGCTCTGCCATGTCCTTGGGACACCGCACCACAAAGCTCTCCAATGCCTGCACGCACAGAGGGGTGGACAAGGAATCAGGTGGTGCTGTTAGTGTCTGAGGCGCCCAAGGGATCACGTTGAACACACACAAGATCGCCTCGCAGTGCTCTGCCACGTCCTTGGGACACCGCACCACAAAGCTCTCCAATGCCTGCACGCACAGAGGGGTGGACAAGGAATCAGGTGGTGCTGTTAGTGTCTGAGGCGCCCAAGGGATCACGTTGAACACACACAAGATCGCCTCGCAGTGCTCTGCCATGTCCTTGGGACACCGCACCACAAAGCTCTCCAATGCCTGCACGCACAGAGGGGTGGACAAGGAATCAGGTGGTGCTGTTAGTGTCTGAGGCGCCCAAGGGATCACGTTGAACACACACAAGATCGCCTCGCAGTGCTCTGCCACGTCCTTGGGACACCGCACCACAAAGCTCTCCAATGCCTGCACGCACAGAGGGGTGGACAAGGAATCAGGTGGTGCTGTTAGTGTCTGAGGCGCCCAAGGGATCACGTTGAACACACACAAGATCGCCTCGCAGTGCTCTGCCACGTCCTTGGGACACCGCACCACAAAGCTCTCCAATGCCTGCACGCACAGAGGGGTGGACAAGGAATCAGGTGGTGCTGTTAGTGTCTGAGGCGCCCAAGGGATCACGTTGAACACACACAAGATCGCCTCGCAGTGCTCTGCCATGTCCTTGGGACACCGCACCACAAAGCTCTCCAATGCCGGCACGCACAGACACAACGGTAATGAAGAGCTGCATCATAAACGGAAGAAGGAAGATCCGTGTCACAGACACAGATCTGCAGGATTCATTCTAGTTTCAAGACGCCTTCAACCTGGGACTTATGAAGAGCCTGAGGAAAGGAACGCACCTGCAGGGAGTACTCGCGGATCTCGTCGTCGTTCTCAGAGGCGCCCTCACAGAAGCCCACCACGAGCGGCAGCACCACTGCCAGATGCGGCCCAAAGCGGTACCCCACCGCCCGGCTGGCAGGGGAGGAGGAGCGCGAGAAGTGGGGGGACAAGGGGGAGAGCGGAGGAGTTGATTGATAGACGATTTGGTTGGTGCAATGTCCTGCCAACGCATTGCACAACTTGCAGCACTGCACAACTTGCAGCACGGTGTACCAAAGAGTCCCACCCCAACCATGTGGGCAGCAGAGCAGAGTGGGGCGTACGTACCAGAGCGCACCGACCATCTGGATGTAGGAGCGCGTCATGTCGGGCTTGAAAGGGCGCATTTACCAACACGCAGAGCACTGTGGCGTACCAGAGAGCGCCGAGTGGCGTACCACACACACACACACACTATCTGCAGTGTAGCATGCATACCAGAGCGCGCCGACCATCTGGATGTAGGAGCGAGTCATGTCGGGCTTGAGGTCAGTGCGCTGCAGCAGTGCCACCACGCTGTTGGTCGCCCTCGCCAACAGGTCGTCCGATAGACTCGCCGCCAGACTCGCTGCTCGCCCACACGCACACGGGGGAGAGAGCGATGTGCACAGGGCGATAGTACAGGGGAACATGCACATGGGTGAAGGAACACAGGGAGATAGCAGCTGATGACCCGTGCAATGGGAAGGAGTTGGTGGGGCAGGAACGCCGTGTTCATTGTGGCTGCTACAAAGACAGCTACGCCACAAGATGCTAGCATGTTGGTCTGGGGATGATACGGCCTTGTAGACATACCCAGGCACTGAGTGGCTCGCTTGCGGAGGGAGGCGCGGGGGGAGGAGAGCTGCTGCAGCAGGGGCACGAGCAGCCGCTCGTGGTCACCGGCCATCACCACTCCAAACCGCTGCAGAACGTCTCCCAGCACGTCCAGGCACTCGCCCTTCACGTCCACGCTCGTGTCCTGCCCAGCGTGGGGGATGCATTGCGGTGATGAGGAACGGTGTGATGCGGAGAAGTGTGGTGCGGATGGGTGAGACGTGGTGATGAGGAGGAATGTGGCGGGATGATGCGGAGGGGTAGGGTGGGGTGATGTGGAGGGATGTGGTGTGGTAATGCGCAGTGCAGCAATGAAAAGGGATGTGTTGGGTTGGTGTGGCGAAAGAATGACACCATCAAACAACCCCTACAAATCCATCCATCCACTCCGCATACACCACCCAGCAACGCCACCCGCAAACCCTACGCCTCGCATGCACGCACCGGGGAGTCGACAGCAGCAGTGAGCCTGGCCGGCAGGGACGCGAGCAGGTGGTGGATGGCGGGCGGATGGTCAATCTAACACCATTAACAACCCGTGCAGCAGAGCAATCAATCCTCAAGTTGAATTCAACCAGCAACGCGACCCTCACGCCTTGCTACGCACCGGGGAGTCGATAGCAGCGGTGAGTCTGGCCGGCAGGGACGCGAGCAGGTGGTGGATGGCGGGCGGCGACGCGACCTCGGCCACAACGGTCTTGAGCGCGATGGCTGCGATGTCGCGCTGCTGGTCCTTGCCCGTCAGCAGCTTCCCCACCAGCGCCGCGCTCATCTCCGCCACGCGCGCCTCGCTCACCTTCTTCACTAACGGCACCAGGCTGACGGAAAACGTCAGGTGACGGAAACGGGAAACACGCAGCAGACCAGACGCGGGAAAACATGATCGAGTTGGCGCCACTGAATGACTACGAGATTCGATTTCGCCTGTCAGGCATTTTCCTCGACCATTTGAATTCTGTCAGTGTGGATTCTATCTAGGACAATCTCAAACCATAAACCAAACACTGGATGCCGGGAACCGGGACCGTCCACGCAAGTGACCATGCATGAGCGACGATGTCGCACGGCACGCACCACTTGACGGCGAGGCCGGAGATGTCGCCCGAGGCGTCGTCGAGCTGCTGCAGCACCACGTGGCACAGGCGCTTCTCGCTGTCCGGGTCGATGCGGAACGTGTCTCGGTTCAGCTCGTTCAGCAGATCCGATGTTCCCATGTAACGAAAATCCTTATCCTTGCTCGCTATCTGCCAGGACATTCGACGAAATGTTAACGACGGAAGTTAGTCACAGATGCGAAGGCAGCTCGAGCGTTTTGCGACTGATTACGTAACCATTGGATTGCTTAGATTGCTAGGATTACCCTTTCCAACGCGAGAGTGACCGAGCTCCCCGACATTTTGCCAGATTCGGATTGCACTCAGACGACGTGTGAGGAAACAAGGAGCCGAATAGAAACCGTAATGTTTCTGCAAGATCTATAATTTTCTGTCAGAAGCCCCGCAAACCAAATCCGAAAAAGATACAGCTAGGAACGTGAGCGCTGGAGAGAAAACACGAAGTATGAGTTGGTCGCTAGCTGCTCAATGCAATAAATTCGGGACCTGAATGGGATAGCTTCGAACTCGGACCAAGAAAGCTAGAACTCGAAAATCTGACATGTCTCCTAGCAGACAGAGACATGTCAGAAGCAGGGAGGGGCTGATGAGGATTGCTCCGCTGAGAACCATCTTGTTCCAGACAACCTTAGCTACACTAGCTAACACCATCTGAATATGTGAACGAATTGCACAAAATATTTATCAACACATCTCACTCTAAATGGTAGTTCAACCATTGGTGCAAATTACAAGGCGTAATGCCTTATTTGGATCTTAGCGAGGAGCCAAAGCTGGCTCAAGAAAGTCCAGCCAAACACCAGTCAGGATGTCAATTTATAAACCAGAACTGTCGTATATGCTAATCACTCTAGTGAACCACGAACACTGTTTCTGAAGCCTTTCTTATCTGTGCCGCTAGAGGCAATATCGCGTATTTATTCCACCGATATTCCCCAGGAGTCCCCCCTGCTCCAAGTCATCCGTCGCCTCCTCTGTCAGATTCTTCCCACACCTTGCCACCTCATTCTAGCTCTCATCTTCACAGAGAGCCATGGCATTTCACATTCGTAGCTAAGCTGTGCGCTCGTAGGCGAGCATCAGACAGCGCAATACCGCCATTTTGCTAAAGGATCTTGTTTCAATCCCTCCCTTTCATTCGGCGCCTCACATCCAATACATTTGCCTCTGGAAATTCCAGTTTCGTACTTTCCGCCAGAATCTCCGTCTCATGTTCACTCGCGGCACGTCGTAAGACGCCGTTATGGAAGAACAGCTAATATCGAAGGCCGTTCGTGAAGGCGTACCATGGGACCAGCTGCCGAAACGAGCGAAACTCTTTCTAGGCTCGAACGAAGAATACATTAGACGGTATGTGCTCTAGCATTGGCATTGGCAAAGCTCTGACCAACACTGCGCTTTCCTAACAGAGGTGAAAGGCGTTAGCTTTTTATATCTCTGTCGTGAATTCTGTGACGCCTCAGCCACGCTGTCAAGATTGTACGATCACCCGAATCTGCAAGTTTCTGAATCTCGTCATTCGTTCTCAGCCGTACGATTGAAAATGCCGACAATTCCATAGCTCCCTCCTCGTCATTCACCTCAACGCGACCCTCCCTCCCCTCCTCCCATGCTCCAAATCCGACCCCAATCCAGCATCAAGGAGCATTGCTTCCAGCTGCGGCTGCGCTGGCCCGACAGTCCCGCGCGTCTCGTGTGTCGCGAGGTGGACTATTACAACGAGCTCATCGCGCACGGCCGCAAGACCCAAGCCGTGCGTCTCGCCTCGCCTCGCCTCCCATACTCATGACTCAATTATGACACGGACAATCAAGAAACTTTGTAGACCAGGAATGCGTACGATTCCGGGAAGAATGAAGCCTGCATTGAGAAACTGTGGGCGGGATCGGCTTGTGTCCGTGTCTAGGTGGATGCTCGTGCCTGGCAGCCGTTTCCCATGCCAACTGGCTGACGTTTGAGTCGGCTGAAACATCATGTGTGTTGATGCTTGTATCCGTGTGTGTGTGTGTGTGTTGATGATGGTGCGTGGCAGCCATTCCCGTACCACCTGGCGGACTACATCTGCCGTGTGCTGCGCATCTCCCCCTTCCGCTACTATAGCGACCTGCTGCTCGACGTCATGAAGCAAGGTGAGGTGACTGTGACGTCATGAAGCAAGGTGAGGTGACTGTGACGTCATGAAGCAAGGTGAGGTGACTGTGACGAATGTGTGACGGGAGAAATCGATGTGGATGCAGAAGGGTGGGCACAGCAAGTGTTGTGTCGCACTGGCATGCTGCATGGGTTAGCCGCCTCACTTAACCTTCTCCTCCTCCCCCCCCTCCCATGTGCGCCGCGTGCAGAGAAGTCCTACGACACAATTCCCAACTTCACAGCAGCGGATGCACTGAGGGAGACGGGCATCGGGCGCAACCAGTTTATTGACATCATGAACCGCGCCCGCGCCAAGGTGGCCCGCCGCTCCCTGCATACACCCATGCACTCATGCATCCAATGCCATCATGCCATCATGACCTCATGCCTTCATGCTGCATCTTCACTTTAAATAAGATCTTGCCTGGACTGACAGTCTCTCTATATCCCGCGCCGACTCTCGTTCTGTCTCCCTGCCCATCCGTCCCTTCCCTGAGCGAGCATCAGCTGATGTGGAGGGTGAACCGGGGCATAGTGAAGGACATGCTGCCGCTGGAGTTGGTGACATGAATCTGATCACATGGAATGGAACTGTACAATTGCGTTACTGAATCGGTATCTGTCCTCCTCTGCCCGTTTTCCCTCTCCCACCCCCCCCCCCAAACCCCCCCTGAGCGAGCATCAGCTGATGTGGAGGGTGAACCGCGGAATAGTGAAGGACATGCTGCCATTGGAGCCAGTGCCCTTCCCCATCCAGCCCTGGTGGCTCGTCTGCGTCGTCAACCTCACTGCTGACGAGTACAGAGTGAGCCTAAAGCGGGTACAGGGTACAGGGTACCGATTACATTGCGAGGTGAGGAGGCCGGGCGAAAATCTTAACCCACGGTAATTGTCAGATCCGTTTACGGTCTCATGCTCTCATGCATCTAGCCCTTCCCACCTCTTCTAGCTTACATTCACTTGCCCTCTCGTCGCACGCACCCCCTTCATCACCCATATCCCGGCACGGCACCAGAGGCTGACAGAGGATGAGCTGAGTGTGATAGAGCGCGGCGGGCACGAGGGAGACTGCATGGCGGGCGAGTTTGACGACGACCTCGTGCGTGCGCTGCACTGCAAGGGGCTTGTCTACCTTGACGTCCCCGTCTACCCCAACGACCGCTTCCGTGGTACGCCTGGTTGCGTGCATTGCTTGGCGTGCATAAAGTGCAGGTGTGTATGCGCGCGCTGCACTGCAAGGGACTCGTGTATCTGGACGTCCCTGTCTACCCCAACCACCGCTTCCGCGGTACGACCTGTGCCGGGAGGACATAACCTGTGGCAGGGGGAAATGGCGTCAGGGGCAAATAGTGCTGGGGGCGTAATCTGGCTGTGTTCTGGTGTGCGCTCGCTGCACTGCAAGTGCTTGTGTACCTCGATGTCTGCATGATCTACCGCAATGATTGCCTCCACGCTGCGCCTGGTTGTTGTCAAGACCATGCACTGCAGTGCGAGCATGCAGTGCAGTGCCCATGCCTGTCCTACCTGTTCTGGTGCGTACCTGTTCTTCTCCGCCTTCCTCTTCACTCTGCCACCTTCTCCTCTCCCGCCCTCCCTCCTCTCTGCCCCTCCCCCCTCTCCGAACCCCCCTACTTTGTGCAGTGTCATCGCTGGAGGGCTTTGTGTCCAACAGGAACCAGCAAGGCGAGGACGCTTCTGAAAAGTACGTCTCTGCCTCTTCCTGCCTCGACCTCCTGCCTCTGTTGCCTCTGTCTCTCTCTCAGTTCACCCATGCCCTCAGCTTTCGGTGTTACCGCAGCCCATCTGCACAGTCAGTGCTATATATGAGAACACCTCCATCCGCTCAGTGAATGAAGCTTCTCTCTCCTCCTTCCTTCCCCACTGCCCCAGGCTGCTCTACTCCTCTCTTCGTCACAGCCAGCGAGCAGGCGACAGTGCACGAGATGGCACTCACCCTCCAAGCGGACGTGCGGCAGCTAGGCGCCGCCATCTCCCTCGCGTGCCGCCTGGGGTGGGCCGAGAAGGTCCTCGACCTGCACTCGCTCCTCGACCACATGGACATGGGGGGGGACGGGGACACCAGCGATGGGGGCCTCGGCAGTGAGGGGTTTGGTGCTGGAGACGGGGGGTTGGGTGCGGGATGGGGGGAGGGGAGGGGGGGTTGGAGGGAGTGGGGGGCGGGCAGGTAGTGGGGTGGAAGAAGATGGAGTCGGTGGGGTGGGGGGAGGGCGGGGGGGCGGACCGGTTGAGGATAGCGCTCATGGTGGACGCCAACCTCACGTCCTTCCTCATGATGGGCTCCTTTTCGTACGGGTGAGGCACACATGCCCTGTCTCTTTTCTCCTAAAGTCCCTATACTTAGTGAGGCGAGAAGCTCTGAGGTGCCTCAAAAGGCGCTCATGGTGGATGCCAACACTCACGTCCGTCCTTCCTCATGATGGGCTCCTTCTCCTATGGTGGAGGCACCGCCCTTTCGCCTTTCTCCTTTGCATATGTTGGGCTTCAACACCCCTCCACCAACGTCCAAACCTCCATTCGCCCAGAGCTGGAGCAGAAACAGAGCGTGTGGTGCCAAGGGTTCCCTAGTGGGTGTGAGGGCGACGGTGCAAATCAAACGTCTCTTTCCCAAACCCTTCCCGTTCCCTTCTTCCTCTCTCGCCAGGACCCCGCTTCCCTACCCCTCCCTTGTGCCCCTGCCCCTCTCAGAGCTGAAGCAGCATGCAGTGACGCTGTTTGAGGGGGGAAAGCTGTCAGAAAGGAGTGTGGCAGAGCTGTGTGGGGAGCTGAGAGCGGTGGAGAAGACAAGACACAGCTGGAGGGCGAGCTGCACAGATGCTGAACCCTTTCATTCATTGCCCGGGCTGTCACCTTCTCCTCTTCCCTTCATCCCCTGCTCTCCCCCTCTCGCTCCTCCCCCCCGCCCTTTCGTGCCGACTGTCCACGTCCCCCACAGAGCTGAAGCAACACGCAGTGACTCTGTTTGAAGCAGGCAAGCTGTCAGAAAGGAGTGTGGCGGAGCTGTGTGGGGAGCTGAGGGCCGTGGAGGAGACACAGCTGGAGGGCGAGTTGCAGAAGTTCAATGACCACGCCTTCAGCCTCTCCTCTTCTGTCCCCCACGTATCCCCTGCTTCCCCACATCCCTCTCAGAACTAAAGCAGCACGCGGTGACTCTGTTTGAAGCAGGAAAACTCTCAGAGCGCAGTGTAGCAGAGCTGTGTGGGGAGCTGCGAGCGGTGGAGAAGACACAGCTGGAGGGCGAGCTGCAGAAGTTCACGGACCACACGCCTTCAGCCTCCGATACGCCCTCGTCCTGCCTCCGCACCGGCAACCATTGACATCACCTCCGCCCTCCTCACCCCCCCGCCCTGCTTCTTCTGCTGCCGCCGCCGCCACTGCAGCAGCTATCGCACCGCCCCACCTGCCCCTCGCTCTTCACTCTCTAGTCAGCCCAGTGCTGCCAGTGACCCTCCAGGCTCTTCGGAATCTGCACAGGGGGCGGCTTGTGGGGGCTGCTGCTGCAGATGCGCCTGCCCCCGGATGACCACCTGGTCCACGCGCAGTGTGGCTGACTCTGCCTCTACTGTCGACCCCTCAGACCTCCCCCTCCCCATCCCCTCCCACCTCGTCGCCTCCTCCTCCTCCCAGTCCCTCCCTGACTCTGTCAGCGCATCGCAACCCACCTCTTCACATGCCGACTCTGCAACCGCACCTGATGGTGTTTCAGGCAGCAGCGCGGCAGGCTCGGAGGGGTCTCGGCTGCAGGAGAAGCCGCTGCACCCACGGGCTGCGTCGTACCCGGCACTGGCAGCAGCAGACGCAGGCGACGATGACGGCTCCTCTTCTCCTGCTGCCCCGCCCCCTCCCGCTGCAGCCACATTACCACCATTACCACCATCATCCTCATCTTCCTCAGCAGCAGCAGCAATGTCTAACCGAGCCACGTTCAACCGGGTGGAAGTGCTGCGAACAGAGAGCCTACAGGGCCTAGCACCCGCCACGCTGCACCGCCTGCTGCGCAGGGATTTCGACCTCGTGGTCTCCATCGTGCCTCTCCCCAAGCCCCTCAACGCCGTCGTCCCTGACGGCTCCGGCCCCGCTCACTTCGCCCACCCGCCCCGCGTTCCTCTCCCCGTGGGCGAAGCTGTTCCTCTACGCGAAAACGGCCTCTGGTCCGGTTTCAGTGGTGCTGATGAGGGGGCTGAGGCTGAGGTTGCTGCCGCCGCCGCTGGTGACCTGTGACAAGGCGTTGGTGTGGACGTGGGATGGGATGGGGGTCGGGGGAGTGGGGGCGAAGAGTGAAGGGTCGCTGGTGCCTGGGACCGTGCTGCTGCATGTGGTGAACAGCTTGCTGAGACACTCTGCTGTGATGATCCAGCCTCTGGCCGCCCCGCCTGCTCCTGCTCCTGGTTTCTCCCGCACTGGGTCGAACTCAGCAGCGAGAGCAGCAGGGGGAGGGGGAGGGGGAGCGGAGGGAGGGTTGTGGGGTGCGGATGGGGCAGTGGAGGGGGTGGGGGAGGGCGTGGGGTGTCTCACTGAGGAAGGGGAGCCGGATTTTGCAACGGTTGCTCTCCCTCTGCCCCCTCGCTCTCGGCCTGACCCCAGTGAGGCTCGAGCAGCTGATGGGGTGTTGTCACAGCCGCAGAAGCCGCAGGGAGGGGGGAGATCATTAGGAAGGACGAGGCTGGGGGGTACTGAAACTGCTGGGGAAGCGGTGGGTGGTGCAGCAGGGGGCGACGAGGGACGCAGGAGTGAGGGAGTTGAGGGCGAGGGGGTAAGTGATAGCACTTGTGGTGATGGCGGTGATGGCGCAGGGGCAGTGGTGCAGGGAGCGGGGCAGCAGAGGGAGGAGGAGGAGTCGCCAATTGTGGCAGCAGC